GTTCATACTTAGTATGATGTTCCGGTTGATCTTCCCTCTATATGCATGTGCTTTCCACTAGTTGTAGCCACTCATTGTCATGTTTATACTTGGTGTGATGTTCCGGATGCTCTTCCCTTCGTGTGCATGCGCTTTCCATTTAGTTTTAGTTTCTCATTGTCATGTTCATACTTGGTGTGATGTTCCGGATGATCTTCCCTTCATGTGCATGTGCTTTCCATTAGTTCTAACCACTTATTGTCATGTTTATACTTGGTGTGATGTTCCGGATCTTGCTTAGATGACCTCTCCTCTATGTGGATATGCTTTCCACTAATTGTAGCTTCTCATTGTCATATTCATGTGTGTTGTGATGTTCCGGATCTAACTTAGTTGATCTCTTCTCTATATGCATGTGCTTTCCATTAGTTCTAGCTCCTCATTATTATGTTAATGCGTGATGTCATGTTCCGGATCTTGTCCGGTTGATCTCTTCGCTATGTGCATGTGCTTTCCACTAGTTGTAGTTTCTCATTGTCATACTCATGTGTGTTGTGATATTCCGGATCTTACTTCGATGATCTCTTTTCTACATGCATGTGCTTTCCATTAGTTCTAGCTTCTCATTGTTATGTTCATGCTTGATGTCATGTCCCGGATCTTACTTAGTTGATCTCTTCTCTATATGCATGTGCTTTCCATTAGTTCTAGCTCCTCATTATTGTGTTAATGCTTGATGTCATGTTCCGGATCTTGTCCGGTTGATCCCTTCACTATGTGCATGTGCTTTCCACTAGTTGTAGCTTCTCATTATCATATTCATGTGTGTTGTTATGTTCCGGATCTTACTTTGATGCCCTCTCCTCTATGTGCTTGTGCTTTCCACTAGTTGTAGCTTCTCATTGTCATATTCATGTGTGTTGTGATGTTCCGAATCTTACTTAGATGACCTCTCCTCTATGTGCTTATGTTTTTCTTTAAATCTAGCTTCTCATTGTCATGTTCATGTGTGTTGAGATATTCCGGATCTTACTTGGTTGATCTTTTTGCATGTATTTTCCACTAGTCATGTGTTGTGATGTTCCGGTTCCTCCCTTATTGATCTTTCCTCTATGTGCATGTGCTTTCCATTAGTTCTAGCTTCTCACTTTCATGTTCATGCTTGGTGTGATGTTCCGGTTAATCTTCCCTCTATGTGCATGTGCTTTCCATCAGATCTAGCTTCTCATTGCCGTGTTCATATTCGTTCATGCTTAGTTGATCTTTTGCTATAGGATAGGTGACCGATGTTTGACTGCTACTACGGACGATGACTTGATTAGGATTAGAAATCTCTTCTCTCTCCCCTTCTCCCTCCCTCTTTTTTTCTTTTTTTCTTTCTTTCTCTCTCTCTCTCTCTCTCTCTCTCTCTCTCTCTCTCTCTCTCTCTCTCTCTCTCTCTC